AGTGGGGTGCAATCCCCCCAGCCACCTGCAGACATAGTGCAAGGGATTGAGCCCCAAACCCCACTTGTGTGGCACAGGGCAGAGAGCCCCTGGCTCAGCAGGACTCCAGGCACCCCCATCCCCTCTCCATAGGGACAGCCCTGCCCAGCCTCTGGGTTCCCCAGGTCACGTTTCTTGGTGCCACCTGCGTGTGCCAGAGTGGAAGGGGCATGAACTGCCTCATCCCTTCATCCAAACCTTTAAGCTGCCATCAGAAATAGCCCCCCTTAATCTGCTTGTGCAGAGACACAGGAGACCTGCCCAGAGGAGCAAATCCTTGGGCAGGGGATTAGGAAGAAGTGGCTCTTGCCCATCCATGCCAAGACACTCATTTGTGTCCTTGGGGTCCCTCGGGGGTGCCCAGATGGGCTGGCAGAGTTCTGCCCTCATACTCTGCCTGCCCCAGTAGGGGCAAGGAGGATGGAGAGGCTGGGACTGAGGGTGCCTGGCTCCAGCCCTGGCTCTGGGAGGGTCCCAGTGGTTACGGCAGGACTGGGTTTGGGGTCAGGATCCCAGCAGGCACATAATTGCATCGAGCGTTGCCGAGGGGCAGCTCCAGCCCCAGCCTTGTTGATTAATTGATTAGCTTGGTACTAATGAGGAACGGTTTTGGAGCAGGCAGTGGGGGCTGGCAGTGTCTGTTGGTGTTACCAGCATGGAGCTCAGAGAGCTGTGGGGCCATGGTGTGGGGTCCTGGTGCAGCCCTGCTGCCCTCCCACCCACGAGGCTTGTGCTACGTGCCAGCCAGCTCCTCCATAATTCAGCACTGGATGATTCATTCAGCTCTCCTGCTTCAGCACTGCCTCTGCACAGTGTGGTTGTGGGGGAGCCCAGGAGTGTGGGGCAGCCTGGGTGGGACACAGCAGGGCCAGGCTCGTGCCACCCCATGCTCAAGAGTAGGTGGGTGCTGAGTGGGACAGGTTGGAGATGGGTGGAAAAACCCTTTCCTGGCTCACAGACCTGGCAGGTCCCAGCACCCCACTGGGCACCTGAGTGTGCAGAATGGCAGTGATGATGTCTTGGTGACGATGGGGGGACCCAGACCTGGGGACAGGCTTGGGGTGAAAAGCAAGGCTGGCCAGGCGAAGGGCAGGGACCTTCAGCAAAGGCCATACGGTGGTGTGACATGATGTGACCATGATGGGAACCCAGCCCTGCACACAGGATTTAGGGTGAAGGACCTAAAAGCTCTCCTTGCTCTTCCTAAGGGGCAGAACGAGAGCTGCTGCTCTGTGACCAGTGGCCTCCCTGGTATCACCATCCAGCAGCTGGTGCTCAGCATCACCCTTAGGGGACCCATATGCCCAGCCCCCGCTTTGTCCATGGGCTGGAGGCTGGGAGGCTGGACACACAGCCCAGTTGCTCCAGCACCACAGGGCTGAGCAGGATTAGGCTGGTGGGTCCCCAGGGTGCCCCAACGGAGAACCTGGTCCTGGGGTCTGTGATGGGGAGCGTGTCCATAGGGTGCCCTAAGGGATCCTGGTCCCTGATGTCCCCAAGACGCCTGGCAGAGTGTGCAGCCGCAATGAGCC